GTTTCTTCCCTGTTTCAGTCAATGGATCTGCAAATAGTACCGGTTCTAACGCTAATTTGACTGATTCTGTTCTTCTTGTAGTCAATGGATCTGCCAATAGTACTGATTTCTTTCCTCAAGCCCTCAATGGATCTGCCAATAGCACTGATTTCTTCAATCGCACAGTAAAGAGATCGGATTCCGGCGCAAATGTTACTGATTTCTTCCCTGTTTCAATCAATGGATCTGCGAATAGTACTGGTTCCAGCGCCAATTTTACCAATTCTCTTCCTCTAGCCCTCAATGGATCCGCCAATAGCATGGATTTTTTTCCTTTAGCCCTTAATGGCTCTTCCAATAGTACTGGTTCCAATGCCAATTTGACTAATTCTGTTCCTCTTGTTGTTAATGGATCTGCCAATAGCACTGGCTTCTTTCCTTCTGCTGTCAATGGATCTGCCAATAGCACGGATTTCTTCCCTGTATCCGTCAACGGATCCGATTCCAATACCAACAGAACCGATTGGAAACCCAGAATCGTCCAGCCAGTTACCACCGACGCCCCAATCACGACCAGTCCCCCAGATCTACCAGACGACATCTTCCCGTCCATTTCCGAAGCCGAGGAAGAAGCTCTGTGGAAACTCCTCCTCAGAAACATTCTTTCCAGATGGAGATTGTTCAGAGCCAGAGAAGCGTAACGTGACGTAGAATCAGGGCAACGAAAAAGTCGAAGACGTGACCCAACATGGGAACTACCTTTACAGTTTAAGTTTAAATCATTTTTCACAGAAAGGATACTGGTATACAAAAAGTAATTATTTGTAAGATCGTCAAAAATTCGTTGCGCAACTCATCCTCCAATGTCTCTGTAACTGGTGAATCAATGTCTTCCATACTTTGCACAGCAGTTTGTATAAATTTATCTCAACTTATTCTCCTATTTCCGCAGCAATTGATGCAAGATTTAAAGACGTTTCTTTATAGAATACTATAAACCTTCGTCAAGCGGAAGAGAGGAAATTCCTACCAACTGAAATTATTAGGTGTGTCCCGCGCGCTCATATGACCTTATGCAGTTGCGAGCGCCGTAAAAACACTTACCAAAACAAACAAAAAACCAAGGAAGAGAGGATTATGTACTGCACTTCCCGCTTCTCATTCACATTTTGCAAACACATATGGCCTACGTCACGGCGCATCAATGACACTCTTTAGAAGCAAAACCTGTAACAAAAAATACATTTCATAGTGATCACTTTTTAGCACTAAAGATTCTCAAAGCACGCGTTCAATAACCATAGTGTCACGGTTAAAAGATGGAAGTGTCTAGGTAGACCCCAATTGGGGACTACGCAGTCATGGTGTCTAGGTAGACCTCATTTAAATTAATGGAGAAAAAGAATGATCACTTGTGGAACAATTAAAAACAAAACGTTTTCCATTAATTAAAAAGTTTCATTATATCCGTTTCCGCTTTAAGCACTGCGACAATTATCAATTTCTGTTTTGAGAGCATAGATCTAGATCTATACCTAATTTTTTACTTCTCTCAAGATGTGTTGCTCCATTCCAGTAGAGTGTAGAATCTAAATATAGTAGGCCAATCAATCAAAATCCAACATTTTTGGGAACTACCTAGACACCATGACTACGTAGTCCCCAATTGGGGTCTACCTAGACACTTCCTTAAAGGAAAGGACAGACGACATGCTTTGAAAAGTGGCATTGTCCCAGCTCATGAGAAGTAAACCTTTTCAAATCTGTAGAAATCACCCATTGGGATTTTTTAAATTAGTGTTAATTATGAGCATTTTCTAAAATAAAGCTAACAGGCGTTTGCAAAAAAACAAAATTAATGCTGATTTGTTGAGACAAATTGATACGAATAATTTTGCAAACGCTGGAGAGTCTATGCTCGGTAGTTAAGGAAATATTATCTGACTGACATAAAGTTACTCCGTACAATTTTGACAGCACTATTATAATGGTAAGATGCTTCCTAATTCAGGCGTTTGGGTAACCGCAACAGATCTCGTAGAGTCCGGAGCACCGACTTTTCTGCCCTCGCCTTCATTTATTTGTCAGTTTGCAGAAAACGCAGAAAGTTGTGGGCGTGTGAGTGTGTGTGAGATATGATTTTGCCTCTAGTGTAATCATTCCCTCAAAAGTGAACGATTTATGAAGGTTATTGGCAATAAAAAAAAAATACGCAGCCCAGACAGCGTTTGTTTAGAAAAAAATTCTTTTAATACTTGTTGACTCTAAAGTCATTGAATGTTGTTGGTAAAAAGTCCCATGGCATTCACCCCTAAGAAATATGTGAATTTTCTTCCTTTTCTCTATTTTTCTCTGTCTGTCTGTATGTCTGTCTGTCTGTCTGTCTGTCTGTCTGTCTGTCTGTCTGTCTGTCTCTCTGTATGTGTGTGTGTGTGTGTGTGTGTGTGTGTGTGTGTGTGTGTGTGTGTGTGTTTTGGCTGAGTCTGTGGTTCGTTTAAGGGTGTTGTATTAATATATTTTTTAACAAGAGGTACTAACATTTTATGTCTCTTGTGCTTATGTCGTTTGAATACTAGATCTAGTCCAGAGAACAATTGATGACTATCTTTCTTTGTGAAGGAGATGGAAAATTGGACTAACACTTAGGTATCATCATTATCGTGTTATATTTCCCCATTTTTTTTTTCCTTTGGGGGGTAGGTGTTTTACGGCGCTCGCAATTGCAGAAGGTCATATGATGATATGAGCGTGCAGGACACAATCAGTTTTTTCAGGAAATTTCGAATTTTCCCCGGGTGACGGCCGAAGCCTACTCTTATCGTTTTAAGACCACCAAGGGATCTTAACCTGCGCAACTTGCACACGAGCCCTCTGAGATTTTTAGCACTAGGCTAGGTGTAGATATTTCCTAACAGACGATCAGGGGTGTGGCTGAAAGACAGCAGTAAGAAGGAGCCAAGTAGTAGGTGTCTTTTTGCGCTCCTTAAAGATCCCTTAGTGGTCTAAAATCATAAGAGTAGGCTTCAGCCGCCACCCGGGCAAAATTCAGTTTTCTACCAACTGAAACATGTTTAATGTGTCCTGCGCGCTCATATGACCTTATGCAAGTGCGTAAAACACTTACCAAAAAAACCAAAAAACTAGAGCTGAGAACTTTATAGTCCAGTATGATACCAACCGAGCTAAAGTTGCACCCCACACAATGGCAGGTGAGTTATTCTCTATTTTTGAAGAACGAGCTTAAGTATATCTCTCATCTTAAGCTTATACTATTAGAAGCCTATCGCATTATCATCACACTAATTATTTATTACGTATCTAGCTTAAACATTGTTACTGTTAACAATTAATTATTATAGATCATTTATATTATTACTTGTGTGGGACTGTGTGTTTGGGAGTGTTATCATAATAATATTATATTATGTATTAATGCATGGGAAGAGAAGGAGGAAGTGAAAGAGGGTATGACGTGTGTCTGGTTGTGTGTCTGGTTGTATGGTTGTTGTTGTTGTCGTGTGTGTGTATGTGGTAGCCTATCCGTTCGAAATGTTTGGAGCCCCGAAGAGCGTGCTCTTCGCCAGGGCCACCGCCTCCCTTAGGTAGCGGGTGAGGCAGTCCAACCTCCCTGAATCCTCCCTGAAGAGATGCCGCCGCCGGTGTTGTTGTTGTTGTTGTTGTAATTGTTGTCGTTGTTGTAATTGTTGTTGTTGTTGTTGTTGTTGTTGTTGCTTTTGCTAATAATTATTGCTGTAGTGGTTGTCAAGTTGCTGTTGTTGTTGATGTTTTATTTGTTTTTTGGGGGCTTTTTTAAATCAAACAAAACAGCACTCTGTACTCATTAAAAATTTATTCAACTTTCCACGCTGCCCCTTTTGGCATCATATCTACGGACCTTTTCATCCTGCTGTCAGTCTGCTAGAATATACTTGCTGGTTACGCATTTTTTTGTCGTTTAGTACTCTTATCAAGGTACTCATATCAAGCACTCACAGTTGAGATGTTCTTATCTGATGCGTACACAATACGTGGCAGTAGAACTTACTACGAGTACTTCGCGTTTCGCCCACAAAGTCTTCGTAATTCATCCCTGAATTTTCTGTTGAACACGGCGTACACGAAAAAGTTGGACGCAGCGTTGATTGCTGTGCTGAGGAACACGATGTTGACTGCAAGGACGTACTCACTGTGGTGGGAGAGCCCAAAGCCAAAGCCAGGGAAGAGTCTCTTCATGTACACCACCACCAGGAGAGGCGTGTTGCAAACAATGAAAAGAGAAGATACGCCACTTACAACCCGAATCGTTCTCTTGTATTTTGTCGACGGTGCAACAGCTTTATTTCCTTCTTTGGAGACTTTCTTTTCTCTCTTTGCCCGCGGTGACCTTACCCCCCTGTCTGGTTCAGTCTGAGGAACGGCACTGTCGTTGGGGTGTTGTTCGTTGGATTTGTTATCTCCTTCATTGTCTTGGGTTGAGAGTACCTCATCTTTCTGTTCTCCTGGAGATGATACTTTGGACTTTTCCACAGATGGCAAACTGCTGGAATGTTCCTGGAATTTAGAAGACCTATAGAGGCCGTAAGCCATCACACAGGTGCTGATGACCAGCGTTATTTGACAAACAGTCTGTAGAAATAAAGTATTCAAGATGTTATGAATGGCCTCCACTTTGGGACGGTAGCTCGTGACCCCGATTGTGAGAAGGGTCATGTTGGTGGCCGGCTCCAACCTCCGGACAAAAAAATGTGAGGTGAACACGGGGATGTAGGAGGCCAGGCCCAGGCACCAGATAAGGCACAGAATGGTCTGTACACGTCTCGGGGTGAGCACAGAGTTGACCTTGAGGGGCAGGGCCACGCAAAGACATCGCTCTAGAGAGACGAGGACCGTGGTACAGCTGGAGATGTCGTAGAACATGGAGCGGGGCCAGGCGAACACGTAGCTCTGTAAGGCAGAGAGGTTCACACCCTGGTCTCTCGCTATGTCGGTGAGGAAGTGAGCACCGTAGTAGAGCAGGCTCCAGGCCAACACGCACGTGTCTGACAGCGTGAGCGACAAGAGAGTGGCCGTCACCGTGTTCTTCCGCCAGTCCTGTCTCAGGAACACGCGCGAGCTCAGTGAGTTCATGGCCACACCGACCACACTCACCAACACACCGACAACCGCAAGTACGTTCATGGCCACAACCAACAGTTGAGAACCGAAAAAAAGAAATTTATAAAAAAAAGAAAACCCCAGAGTCAAAGAAGGCTTAAAGATTTATTGTATCTTTAACGTTTAGGCTCTCGGACTCACAACCGTAAGGTCGAGGGTTCGAATCCCGTCAGGGGACCGACGATGTGTCCTTGGGAAAGGCACTTTGCATAAATTTTCCTCACGTCACCCAGGTGGAAATGGGTACCCGGCTATAGACAGTGAACGATCTTGTCAGTTTGATAGTGTTTGAGCGCGTGAAATCCGCAGCTTGCACTGTATGCTTCCGCGGAAGCCGAGAATGTTTCTGAGTGTTCTCAAAGGATCTGCTGGGGTAATAATAGTTGTAAAGCGCATAGAGCATGCTCTTGAGCCTGGATATGCGCTATATAAATGCAATTATTATTATTATTATTAGCCACTATCCAACTTTCTAGGATCTGAGACACAGGATTATCATCAAGCAAAAGCTAGAAAAAACTTCGGCTTTTTGAAAATCGTCACCTTAATTCTTGATGGACGTAGCGGACAGTCAGTATGCCCAATCAGCAGCCAATAAAAGGCAAATGTGAGGCAGCGTGGTGGAATCAGGCTCTCGTCAACTTTTTAGCATATGGAGTTATTGGTATCATCTTAAAGCTTGTTCATTGGTCTTGCTTTCAATAAAAAAATTACCCATCCATCTTCAATAGAAGTGGAGATATTTTGGATTGAAGGAGGTGGGGGTCACCAGGTTTAAGAGGTAATTTAGGGAGAAAATGGCCGCCAAAGCTGGAGAGTCCATGGAAACTGTGAAATTATATTTTTGTGCCTTTAATCAACGTTTTCGGTGAAATCCTCAAAGGAATGTGTTTGTAAATGGACAGAAAAGGTGTTGAGGCAAAAAACAAAAATTTGATAAAAATTCCTTAACAGGGAGATTTCATTATTTTGACGAGAGCCTGATTCCACCACGCTGCCTCACAAATGTTTCCGCACTTTTCAAACCGTCGTACACAATTCAGAAATACACAGCACCTATTTTGTTACCTGCCATTTTGAGTGAAGTTCAGATTTTTTTATTTTTTTTTAACAGAACGGAACAACCTGAACGACTAACAAAGTTTTGATTCTGTTTTGTTTTTGTTTTTCTTCTAAAGTTTCCCCACACACACACAGAGCGTCTTTAAATGGCCAGAACGCCAGCCTTCAATAGGTGGAAAAGAATTCATAAACCTTGTGTTCTTACATCATGATTTCACAATATCATTCCATCTATAATCTACCTACACTCATATCTCCTTTCATCTACTTCTGATTGATATGGACGTTAATCTTACACCATTTCGCCGTTTCACCATCTACTTCTGACAAATCCGAAACTTGGATACTAGTTATATAACTAATAGATAGCCTAGTGGTTAGGCTCTCGGACTCGCAACCGTAAGGTCGTGGGTTCGAATCCCGTCAAGGGCCCAATGTTGTGTCCTTGGGAAAGGCACTTTACACGAATGTTCCTCACTTCACCCAGGTGGGAATGGGTACCCGGCTATAGACAGCGAAAGATCTTGTCAGTTTGTTAGTGTTTGGGCGCTTAATCGGCTGCTCGCATTGTATGCTTCCCGGGAAGCTGAGAATGTTTCGGAGTGTACTATGGTCTGCTGGGGTAATAATATAGTGTAAAGCGCATAGAGCCTGCTGTTGAGCGGGGATATGCACTATACAAATGATATCTATTATCATTATTATAACGTTTGATATTGTCACAGTCGGGGCGTGTTCTAATTGTTGCATCGATACCAAACTTCCGAGTGGGGAATAGGCTCACCTATCTATTAAGACAAAAATTTTGCTACAGACCCAATTTGATGATAATATGATGGTTTCGCTTTAATAACAAACACCATAAACTCTGTGCTGTGTCATTTTTTGACGCGCAAATATATACTGCTCATAAAATTTAATGATATCTTAACCTACTGAAACTATCGTAGACAATTGTTTCAAATTTTTTAAATAAAGGTATGCACGCATACAAGGCATGATTTTACAATAATACAAATTGATTTAGGAGCAGATTGCGTATCCACTTAGAGCATAATATTTCTATTTAGGCCTACTGTGTAATATTCTTTTATTGCAGGAATAATTTCCGTGTTTATAAACCACTTTCTCGACAACAGGTTCTGTTGGCAGCAATTACTAGTAGGGCTTATAATAAAATTGTTGTGTTCAACAAATAATAGAATCATTACGTACTGCAAGCCTTTAGAAACACAATCCCATCTAAAAAATATATATAAAAGGGGGGAAAAGAAAAAGAATATCCTTTGTCTGAACTGTTATTAACGCTTTCTGCGCTTGGAGTATAATAGGCTAAGATTCAAACGGTATTTAAAAGAGAACACATTTTTAGGCTGTCATTCAGTTAAACATTTTTCAGCGTTCCCCGATTGGTGGCGTCTCTGCCCGTGATAGCGAAGATAACAGTGTGGTGTTGTTTTTTTACTTGAGAAAACATTTTTCTTAAAAACATTTTGGATTTTAAAATTAACTGTTTGTGTTAGTGTAACACACACGAAAGCATTCACACATACACACACACACACACGCGCGCATACAAACATACACACACACATACACACACACACACACACACACGCACACACACACATACACACACATACACACACACACACACACACACACACACACAAACACACACGCAGAGATAAGAAATGTTGTTGTTGTTGTTGTTGTTGTTTTCTTTGTTGTTGTTGTTGTTGTTTTCGTTGTTGTTGTTGTTGTTGTTGTCATTGTGTCACACACACATACACACACACACACACACACACACACACACACACACACACACACACACACACACACAAACATACACGCAGAGATAAGAAATGTTGTTGTTGTTGTTGTTTTCGTTGTTGTCGTTGTTGTAGTCGTTGTGTGAGTTTCTGAGTGCGGTGAAACAGCAAACAAATATTCCCCAGCGTCTGGACAATAAAGGTTTATCGCATCTTTCCTCTTATCTTATATCTCTATCCCTAAGATATCGAACTCTCGCCACCTTGTGTGTGAAAGGTAAAGAACCTCACCACAATAGCACAGACGCTGGCCAGACAGACATAGACTGACTTCAACATAAGATAATTTTAGTTAGTTTTAGTAGGGTTTTTACGGCGCTCGCAAAAGCATAACGTCATATGAGCGGCAGAAGATTCGAGGTGTTACAAGAGATTAACAAACATTAAAAAGAAAAATCGGGAAATAAGGACGATAGATGTTACATAGCATAGAAAAGAAGAAGTAAACTACACCAGAGCACCCGCCAACCACCCCCCCCCCCCCCATATAAGGTAAGGACCACTAAGTCTTGTAAATTTGGCTAAAATGTCCCAAGGATTTCCAAGCTACACGTTGTGGTTTTGCCCCTTTATGAAGCTTTGCAGTACACATTGGTAACTTATTAACACTTTTAGAGCAAAAATCTTTTGAAATATTCCTTGATGACTTTTTTTTTTTTTTTTTTTAAATTTAAAATCAAACAAACAGGGCTGTCTGTCAAGGTGGTCCTTAACTTTCGATGAAGTTTGTAAGTAATCGGTTTATCTTCACCGGAGACGCAAACATCTGACATGCGAATTTCCATCAACATCTGCTGCTATTTCTGTTCTCAGGAATAAAATCTAGGAAATGGGCCGCCGGATCCGAATCGCATGGCGGGAGAATTGTTGACATTTACACCATTGTATAAGCTCGGTTTTCTTTTAGACGAATGTACAGCGGCAGAAATAGATAACCTTGTTTCCTTGTTTTGTTTAAGGAGAGAACATCAACAAAGTAATGGTCATGTAGAATCTAGTTCGGGGAGAAAGCGAGGTAGACAGACGGAACCAATAATTTATGGGAAAATTTGCCGGTCTCGTCGAACGAAAGCTGGTTTGCAGATCAGACTCGAAAATCGGATAACATATTGTTTTAATTCTAGTAAGAGTTTCATTGCATTAGCAGCACAATAAGATCATAAGAGCGCCGAAGATTAGAGGTGCAGCACAATAAGATCATAAGAGAGCCGAAGATTAGAGGTGCTACAAGTGAGAGACAAAGGCAAAAAAGGAGGAGAGATTAGGACACTACACGTTAAAGACAGAAAAGAAGGAACAAATCACCTCCAAAGCACCCACCAACCATCTGCGGGATAAGATTTAGGAAGAAATCCAATCCAGTGACTGTTTTCAATTGCAGCAGGTTTCAACATGACGACCTTGCGGAAGGTTGCTTTGGATATTTTTATTTTGAAGTAGCATCATTGGTTCACTAATGTAAAAAAAAAGTTATTAACGGTAGAGCTAGACCAAAAACAACTTACTATATATGTGAGGCAGTGTGGTGGAATCAGGCTCTCCTCAATAATTAGGCATGTAGAGCTATTGGTGTACACACCAATGAAACCAAACTTCTCCTATAGGTAGGACAATGCCCAATTTGGGTGTAGGTCAAGGTTTTCTGGAAACCCCCGAAATCTGGGTTAGCCCGCTTGTCCTTAAAATCATAATCTGATCAGACCAATTCTGACAGAAGAAAGTTTTGTCCAATTTTGAACATTTTAAAATCTTTTCTTCCACCAGCGGACATTCGCAGCTTGCGGGCTTCTCTCTTGGTTTCAACATATGTGAGGCAGCGTGGTGGAATCAGGCTCTCGTCAAAATAATGAAATCGAAGAAAACAGCAGTTTTCTCTCCGTTTAGCAATTTCTATTAAATTTTTGTTTTTTGGCTAAAACACCTTTTATGTCCATTTACAAACATATTCCTTTGAGGATCTCACCGAAAAACGTTGATTAAAGGCACCAAAAAAATGTACAGTTTCCATGGACTCTCCAGCTTTGGAATTTACCAAGCTTTGGCGGCCATTTTCTCTCTAATATTACCCTTTAAACCAGGTGACCCCCAACTCCGTCAATCCAAAATATCTCCATTTCTATTAAAGAT